ATTTTTTTCTGTTTTTATTTTAAACAGCTGTCAAAACTAAGCAGGTGCATCCAGTTTTCTTGTATTACTTTTTTCATATAGTAAACATGATGACCAATCACTATCTATCTGGGTGACTCTTCTTATATAAGCATTTATGTTTTTTTTTTCATTTAGTTTTTCAGCTTTTACTGTTTGTCAAATACTAACTTATATATAACAACAAAGTCTGAGAATACATTATGCTACATGAAGACATAATTATTATGTATAAACAAGTCAGAGTATGTTGGTCTCTGCTAGCAATGTCCTAAAACTGTCAACTTTTATAGATAAAATTATAAATTCATTAAGTTCTTCGACTCCTTCTAAATCATACTACATGTATATGAAAGGAATGTAAAGGATTTTGTTCAACTGCAGAAAATGATGCAGCTGCAACATTTGATTTACTGTACCGTTATATGAGCAACAATATGATATTATTTTTAATTGCATATTTAATAAATATGTCATGTTGTTCAACACACTAAACTAAATGTTTTTATATAAAAATTTCCAAGTTTATTCTTAAGAAATCAACAATGACCAATTTGCAAAAAGGTTTAACATGTTTATTAAATGTTAACAATTTACTTGATATATTAATTACATTGTACATTATACAAAGATCAAAATTTGTAGAAGAAAAGTTGTTACAATATCAGTTCTTTATAATCATCATTCCATCCCATGATTTTTTAAAAAAAAAAATGCTTTTTAAACTACAGTACTTCTCAAGCAGACATGCACATTCAAAATTCTGAACTTGATCAATTTAATATATGGACTTGTGGTGCTTCTACTTTTGGATGTTTTCCGTTGTTTTCTCATATAGTACTCGCCACTCTAATTCTCAATTGGTATGCTATTCCCTTTGTTTACAAAAGTTAATGAGCAATGTAGGACTAAAGTTCTACCTACACTACTGTCACTAGCTTTTATGATGGTTAAACACACCAAAAGGCACCAGATTCACTGCTCGATGTGATTTTAGAAAATTCTTTCATTTGTAAAGTTTGTTTCCTCGTTTTTCACTAAATTTTGAAATTTGGACAGGAGAAGAAAAACTCGACCAAAGAACTCTTCTGCAACTTGAACTTGTCTGAAAAATTAAATGCAGTGGCATATTACCAAGTATTTTAAACTCTGAATAAGCATAAAATTTAATATTATGAAACAATTTAATTCCTTATCTCTAAAAAACATTTTTAAAGTCTTAAGCAAGATTTTTTTTTTTAATTGGTAGTTTAAAATAAAAAAAAAATATCTATACCCATTTTATAAAATGGGGTTCTCCTAAGGCCCAAAAAAATAATCTTGTTTCCTGCTACCAGCCTGAAAAAAATAGGGTAGGTAGGTAGGAAAATTACTTCATTTTTTATTTTTATTTTATTTTTTTCCGACAGCATTTTTTGGATATGAACTAATACAAGGTAAAATTAAACATGTCACAGGTCAACATTGTCTTTTAAAATTGAATTTCATGTCTTTAATGCACAACTCAAGTGGTATTTTATGAAAGTCAATATTTAAAACAAGAATTTCATGAAATGCTTGTTTTGTGTTAACACGGAAACCGATTATAGTGACAGAACGATGAAATTCCGGAAATTCCCGATTTTTTTTTCTCCCAAAACTTGAAAAAAAACTTTAGGGTCGGGTGCAAAAAAATAGGGTAGGTTGGGTAGCAGGAAACAAGACTATTATTTTTTTTGGCCTAATTCATAGGAAGGACTTTCAAGACGAAAAAAAATTACACCCAACTTTGAAATAATTTTGAAAAAGACCAAAAATTAATGCACTTAAAGCTTAGTGGAAAAAGCTTGCTTATTATTTTTGGTTGACATCAAAAGGGTTTTCCTCACTGTTAGCTTAACAAACTATTTACTTGCACGTGTTGCATCACATGAACTCCTTTTTTTGTGAGAAGATAATTTCCATATTTCAGCAGGATTTCGGGAAATAAATCCATAAATGTTAGATATATAATTTACATAGGCTATGTTGTTGTTCTCAAATCGAGTGTCGCATGACTCGAAAAAGTCCGCATTTCCTCGCCAACATGACTTTATGATTGAGAGTTTCGATAAAACTGCTGTTTGGAAACGATTGTTTAAAGTGCGTTGTGTAACTCGAAGACCAATTTTCTTTGAAGTCTGTTATAAACTCTTGTGCATCTTTGATAACGCAGTCAAACTGTAAAACTATAATAATCCTGCCCAAATCCGCATATCACCATATGACAACAGACAAGTTTCGAGCAACCTGAACCCGATCAAATTTGACATCCACTGTATCGCTAGATTTCAAGGAAAAAGATGTTTAGTTTGAAGTTAGAAATTCCTTAATTTTCAGTAGATTAATTAAACCAAAATAAAATGCCAAATTCTATGTTTAATCAATTTGATTCTGTTTTTTCGGCATCAGCGTACTTAAAAACGGAGCGCCCTCAAGCGACAAATTAAGTCATAAATCAAGAACGATAACTGAAATTCACTAATATTGGAAGTAATTATCGGGGTAGTAAACGCTAGACTCGCAATTTTCCAAACTTTTTAAAATTTAAAATTATAATTTTTAAATATCTGTTTCGTTGTTCATTATCACTTTCTCTCATAACCTTTGCTGTTTTAATTTTTTAAGGTTTCAATATCCATACCATTGTATAGATTTGTACTACTCATGTTCATAATACTTTCTCAATATATTGCCTATTAAATTAGAACAAGCCTGAATATTTCCAAATCATTGAACATATGCAATATATATGTCCTGATGCATAACCATGTGAAGTTTCAAGTCAATTCTCAAACACTGACTTATCACGAAAATTTGATTTTGCCTGATTCTTACGTGGACCTGTACTTAAATATCTAAGATAGAGTCACTCAGCTTAGATGTAACCATTTATTTAATATTTATCAAGGAATAGCCCATTCGTATCTCACTGAACATTTTTTACTTCTGTCTATTGTTGATTGATTATATATTGTTTTACGTCCCATTAGAGAATCTGAAAGTTGGATGAAGTTTTACATTGACCCTATAAGCCTTTCTTGATTTACATGTAAAAGTGACATCTGAAAGTTGGATGACTTGGTCATAATGACCCTCAGAGCCGACTAATTCTTAAATGCGTGCAAATGCCGAAAATGCAAATAGGAATAAAGATAGAAACATTTTCTGATTGTTTTCTTCCGGAATCACTTGTGGTAGACATGATACAAATTGGTGTAATATATGGTTTATAATTGGTAATCTAATATAAAATGTATTGCCCAAACGATAAGTTCCAACAATTAGTTTCTGTATAAAGAAGAGTTTGTAGGATCCTAGTAATTCAAAATTTTGTGCAGGTTTCCTAGTGCTGATAGACTAGAAAAATGATGCAGAAAATAGATGCGCTACAAAAGAGCAACTATGGTTGAAGTCAAAGGCAGTACAATAGCATACTGTAAGAAGAAAAGAAAGATGCGAACGCCCGCCAAGCTCTGTTATATGTAGCTGTTGTTGATGGTGCTATAGCTGCAGTTGTAAGCTTTTCAATGTCGTCCAGAAGTTTTGAGGCATCAGTGCTGCTGACACCATGGTTGGTTCTGCTTGTGCACCCGGTGCTAACTTCCAGAATTCTTGAACCTGTTATCGAGAAAGGCTATCTGCCAACTTATTGTGTTTACGAGGTATATGTTTTACTTTAGATACAATATTATGCTCCAAGCATTGCATGACCACATAATTAACCATCTGCAACACTACTGAATCTTTGCTAGTTAGTTTATTAATAACAGAACTAATGCTTCATTGTCAGTAAAGAACAGAATGGAGTTAATAGCAAATAATCTTCCCAAATAGCAACTGCAAGGACTATTGGGTAAAACTCTAAAGTCGTAATATTTAAGTTCTTCCAGTTTTCAGGAAAACTACCATACAACTATTGAGTTTATGGATTCCTTCAATGCCTTTTAACTGTGCAGCATCTGTATACAACTGGAGGGTGTTGCTATACAGAAATTTCTCGTCTTAAAACATAGTCTTTCAATTATACCCTTCCAGAAATGTCAACCACAGGAACATATCCTGTTTACATTCCGTATCAATGGTTATAAACCTTTTATTTTCAGAAACTTTCATCAGCACATTTATACAACATTCGAGAAATGCACGACCTGACAAAACCCGTATATGTAATTGCATCTCTTTCATAGAACATCTGTCTTTTTTTAATAAAACTTTGAAGCAAATATGTACATTTTAAAATCTTATCTCTGGACAAGCGGGTTTCCTTAACCTAACATTTACCTCTACTCCAACAAACTCAATAATCTGTGTAGGAAGAACGGATTTTTCTGCTGCGATGGGGAATTCCAATGTCCGCACAAAGCTCAGGAAAACATTTAAATTTCTGTAAACATAAAACTTTGGATTGCTCAATAGAAAGAAAATCATCCAGTACATGATTGATTGATTGATTATTATTGTTTAACGCCGAGTTGGCAATATTTCAGCCATATTTCGGCGATCCAGTATATGAACTACAGCCTAACCTATTCTTAGCGATCCATTCAATTGCATTACTAAACTGCTCGAAAACACTTGTCATAGAAATATTTGTCCTCCCACATAAAAGCCAATAAGCTCATAATCCATTGGTAATGCAGACAGTATTCTAAATGTTGACCGAATGTCTGTTTTGCAACAGAATGAAGTTTCCCCTAGTTGTTTAATATACTCTACAGCATCATTTATACCTGCATACTTTGCGAAGTAAGAAGTTATCCTTACGTCGCGGGTTCGAATCCCACTGTGGGACGTGGAAACCGGTCCTTCGGATGAGACCGTATAAACCGAGGCCCCGTGTCGCAGTAGGTGCTGGCACGAAAAAGACCCCGCACTGCTCAAAGGCCGTAAGTGCCGAGTATAGGACAAAATGAGTGGAAAATTCTCGAGATGGACGTTAAACAACATAAAAAGAAATATACCTGCATACTGAATGGGAGCTGCCTCGTCAAATATACCCATATTAGCTTGACCTTTCCATTTTGGTAGGGTAAGATAAGTGATGAACCATTCAATATTGATAGGCACTATACCTAGGGGAGAAATCTTTAAAGAGTTAAATGGAGAGTTAGAAAAAGGTTCTGTTATGCGACGTGCACTGAGCTTTTAAAAATTCCCTCATTAAATTTGAAGCAGTGGGGACGAAAAAGCTGATTCGTAGCAGTAGAGTTACAGGTGCCTCCAACTTTTCATTGAAGTCCGACTATACAAAACCTTATCAACATATCCTCTCGTCTGGCCTTTCTAAATGTAATATCATAATGAAATTAGCCCCCTCACCCATCTTTATGTATGGAGTGTATTAAGTGCAGATACACTACCAGAGCTTCTGGTAGGTTTTTATCATTCGGATTGCCATGCCTTACCACTGAACTGAAGATATTGAATGCATCAGTCCACTCTTCGATGGTTATGCCATGAATTAGTGATGGGAAATCGGATTTTTTTTTTCCCATAATCGATTATTGGAATAATCGGATGCACTATAATTGATTAATTATTGATTGATTTCAAGTATTAAATTTGTTCATTTTTGAATGACGAATAAATTGGTAAAAAAATTCTGGAGTGATTTCTAGGATACATTTTTGAAATACTTTGTATCATTGATTCATTTATTTGATTATTATTTGGTTTTAGTTCAATTCAAAGAAGAATGAATCAAAAATCAAAGGAATGATTTGCTTTTAACTATTATTTTGATCAATCGATTATTAAAAGTATAATCGATTATCTATAATCGGGGGCCATTTCGATTAGATAATCGATTTAATCGGTACATCACTATATATGATTTTTTTCATTTTATTAGAACTTAATCTAACTCTAACTTTTACTGACAGGTGGAAGTCAACAAATTCCAGATTAGTAGGGAAGTCTAAAATATAACCCATCTGGACAAATTCATTAGCTAATATATTCACTTTGATTTTGCTAGGAACATACGTGTGAAGGGGTCTACCAAGAGGTTTGTACTCAGATGTACTTTCGACATTACCCTTAAATTGTTGTCAAATTCACAAAACTAGCTGCTGTTCATTTGATGTAAGCACTGGTGCTGCATTCACTGTTGTTTTCTGTGCTGTCCCACCATGAGCTGAAGTGGACTGTAGGGTTGAGGATGGGGAAGATGCTACTGGTGAAGCGGTTCCCTGTTGAGGTGCTTGAGGTTCACTCACATTTTCCTCTGAGGTTGCTCCTGTTGATATGCTGTCCACTTTGCGCTTGTGTTGCGATAGCCTCTTTTGTTCAACAGAAGGTAGGACCCCATTTTTTAAAAGTTCGGACAAAACGTTTGCAGTAATGGAATGGGTCAGACTTTGAATGATGCTAGACTTATTTGTCACTGCACTGTCAGATGTCCGCTGTTTCTTTGTTGGTCTCTGTCCAAGGGTTGCTGAGGAAAAGTACGTTTTGGGACCCATTATGGTGTTCTAAAATAACAAAATGCAAATAAAGCAAAAACATGCTAAGAATATTCATTAGCATGCCAACATACATGCTTTTCATTTTAGCATGCCAAAGTTTTTTGATAATTTTTTTTAAATACCATCATCCTTGGCACTAACAATTCATAACAGGTATAATCTTCCTGCCTTATAATTTGTAAAACATTACTTATACAAAATCGAACATCCCTAACCAAAATTTACTATAGTTAACTATAGTAAATTAACTATACTATAGTAAACTATAGTTAACTATACAGTATTTTTGTGTTAGGCCAATAAACTTGTGTTATATATATTTTAATGAAGCAACAGCCTGGTCATTTGTTGTTGTTGTTTGTTTTTTTTTTAACATACTTGAGTTATAAAGCATGCCACAGCCAGCATAATTATTTAACCTTTAAACAGGCATCAAGTATTGATGTATATTTCTTAACAATAATATATATTTTCATGCTTAATTTGCAACATGCTACTGCATAAAATAAAACGTTCACATGCTTATGTCAGATGCCACTATTCATTGACCATTAGGATAATTAAATATATATAATCTGAAATGATAATTCAATGTCTACCCCATCTACTTAAACAAATAGAATGCTAGAATGGTCAATTTTACCCTTAAGGTAATAAAGCATTAAATGCATAACAAAAAATAAAAATACCTTAGCATTTGAAATCTGAGCAATGAAAAGAAATGAGCATAAACAAGAACTAAGATATTAACAATCTCCTAAGTGGTTGCACAAGACTCACAATATTATATGGTATGAGAGTAAAAGAATTTGAACCAATGTCAGACCTGTTTACCCATATTGTTGTCTCTCAGTATTTTTCATTAGATTTGTCAGTGAGATTTGGCATTTGCCCGTAAGATTTCACTTTTCATCGACTGTACATATATTACTAGAAAACAGCTACAAATCTGATAACCAAAACATGGTTTGATAACAAAGCAAAACGTCATACACTGCTCTCTTTTGAGTGATTTCTGTCATTTTTTAAACCACCGCGTTTTGGCAACTTAAATGTTTGAAAATTCTCTCTTCTTTAGCGATTAAAAAGCGTCAAACTGAGACAGATAACGAAAACTAATTGCTAAAATCCATATGAACGGATTTTCGTTATAGCAAAACGTAAGACGTATTTTGGACTGAAAATCCGTACAAAATACGGCGAAATCGTAAGAGTAAACGGGTCTGCAATGTTCTGAATACTTTTCTAACAACAGTTCTGTTTTTACTAAATTAGTCTATTATAGACTACATGTGTAACTTACCATGTAAACATAGTCCGAAATATCTTACGTTTTCCAGGCTTTCTTCACGAATTTGATATGTTACGTGCTAGGAAGTTTTCCTGGCACGTAAAATATCAAAATCGTGAAAAAAGCCTGGAAAACGTCAGATATTTCGGACTAATGTAAACAATACCTTATAGCCTGGAGAATTGCCAGACTTAAGCTCCTATAGAACTTCCTATTTCAGCAGATGCACACCATCTACACTGAAGATGGCTAATGGACTGTTCATTAAACGTAAATATCCCAAATACATCAACTTAGGGTGAATTTCTAACATGTTCTTCAACATTTAATTAACAATATCATGTCGAAAAGAGTACATTCCGACCGTCACATTTTGTGGATCTGAACGACTGAAAAACTCACAAACAGCTATTCTCTTTATAAAACTGTAATCAATGATTCATTTTGGTGTGCGTCCTGCGTAAATTATGCACAAATTTTGCTCAGGACGCATTATATTAATAAATGTGCATCCCAATGGACGCAATAAAGAAGGTACGATTTGGGCTTCATTGTGCCCTAAAAGTTTAATGTTCTTAAAAGGTTATGAAATTGGCTATAAAATGAGTTGAATAGATGAATATGATAAATCATTAAAGAATATGGCATAAAGGAGGACCATTCTGGAAATATGAGGTCATTAATTTGGTAAATTTCTAATGCAGAAAAGCCTCGAAATGACTCATTTCTGTGTTTATTTTCCTTTAGAAAATAGTGTCCGCAGCCCTCGCCCACGTCAATTTTTAGATATATTGTGTAAAATGATTTGAAAAATCACATATCTCAAAATCTTTGTGGGCGATGCATGCGCTGTATATTTCTAAAAGAAAATTCCACTGAAAATTGATGTCTTCTGCAACTTTTAAAGAAAATACGGGAAAATGCACAAGTTCATGACGTCACAATTAGCATTTAGGAGGTCATATTGGAAAAACGATTTGAATGTTCTTACTGCATGGAATTTCAATAATTCAGAAAGGATTAATTTAAATTTCTTACATCACTTCTAAATTTTAGAAAAATACAGGGCCAGATATGTATTGAAACCGTGCCTTGTTCTTTATAGAAGAACGTGTATTATTTGGTATAATCCGATTCTAAACTTGACCGATTACATCATATCCATGTGCTAAGCGATATGCATGAACAATTTTAACAGGTATATATAAGGTTGCCAACAACAGGTCAGATTTCACAATTGCAGCCAATTAACCAGCAATTATCAGAAAATATTTGAAAGTTAGATAGCTTAGTTCGATTATCACTGATTATGTCTGTACTGTGGAACATTTCTGAAGCGAATACTGTACCTTTGTAAAAGCTATACATGTAACCTGTATCATTTTTTTTTTTTGTTTTTTGTTTTTTCCTTACAAACTAAGAAGTTTAAAATTTAATCATTTTTATTTCTGACTGTTTTTTCATTTCTTCTTAAAATTTTTTTGCTTCATTCTGCTTCTGTGCATTTTATGACTGATACATTACAATGTGTGAGATCGTATGTACGATCTAAAAATAGAACCGAAGTGCACAGTTGACTATATATTATATTTATGACACAAAATCATGTACTCTTACTTGGACAATTGATAGTAAAATTATAAAACTACTCACAGCAACAATAAAGCATTTGCTCTTTCGTGCAATAACTATATGTTTCACCAGAATTTCCTCTGTAATATCTATTATATGACCCTTGGATTTGGACGCACTGATTTTGTCATGGGACTCATTGTTGTCATTAAGGGGGGTCCTTTGGACCCATGATCACCATTTTCAAAATGAATCACTGCTGTAATTGTAAACAATCGATTCGAAAAACTTCTAGTTTCAATGTCAATGACACAAATCATTTCCATCCAGCTGAATTACAATAACACGGGTGAAATTTAAGTTCTGAAGCTCGTGAAAAACGCACCATCGACACTCATCGAGTTTATTTAGAGTGGTACCTACGACTCCGTAGAATCTGATTGTGCAAAAGTTATATCTAGTCCAAAATTATCACTACACCCTGCATTCTATCCTATTGACTGCTCAAGGCGACGAATAAAACTGTGGCCGACTACTAAAACATTCGCCACTTCACAAAAAGAACGCACAGAGTATTCAGCATACAATGTTTACATAACAATGGCGGTCATACACAATGGAACTCAGATCAAAACAAACAGAATTGTAAGCATTTACCTGGAAAATAGCTC